TGACATTTTTTTAGTTAACCAAGATTAATTTTTGAGCTATAACTAAATAAAATAACATGAAATATTAATTAGGTAAAACCATATTTTAAAAACATTTTACAAGATAAATCTAAAAAAAAATACTTGTATCGATCAATATCCAATATAAATTTTATCTAATAATTGGTCAAAATTTATCAACTTTAACTAAAAAAAAATAAAATTCGACAAATACTCAGGACAAAGATAATATATAATGCTAATATACATTACCAAATTGTTGCTGGGTAGTAGTAATGTTTTAAAGTTAAAAGCAAGAAATTCTTATGATTTTCTTTATATTTTATTCTTAGTGTAATAGAAATCAGAACATTATACGTGTATAGTTGATTATGCCGTTTTTCTGATACATCCGGCAATTAGATCGTAGGAAGGAGAGTCATGCATGCCAAAGAAGGGGAGACCTACAATTGGATTGAAGGAGATGCCCTACATTGATCGATGGGGAGGCCGACGTAGAACCCTAGGTGCGATGAAGTGAAGCATCATAACAGCAATCGACGACAGGTGAAGGTGAGGAAACTCTAACCGCGACTGCATCTAGGTGGGTGAGGATGCCTCGTCGAGATTTGTAGTAGCGAGTGTAGATGTGATGCGATGAAGGTGATTATTGTTGACTGTAAGTTTAATTAGACTACTAGACTACATTCTTCAAATCTGAAAGAATAATACTGCATTACTTGAGAATGAATATCATGTACTTGGGAATGAGCTTTACTTTCTTTCAGAATGAACACTTCATTCTTCGTTAATGAGTATTATAATTGTAATAAACAAATGTGTAAAAATTAAAACTATATTATTTCAGAATAAAAAACTATGTTATTGGTTCAAAATGAACATCACGTTATTTCAAAAGAAATATTTTTTTACTTCAAAATGAATACATGTACTTTGCATAAAAATGAATACTCCGTACTACTTTATTCAAAAATGTATAGTACCTAGTTATACCTTATTTCTGATATAGGGGACTACACCACATAGGTGCTCATAAAATTCCTTTTTTAAATTCTTTTTGAACGGGAGGTGTAATACTCCATGGGAAAGAAAGATTCGATTACAAATCAAAAACAAAAGCAAAGTAATCATTTTGTTTTACAGATCTGGTGACCGAAAAGAGAATCCTACAACCTACACGACTGCTGCCTAGCAAACGTTGAATGTGTGAGACATTGAGTAGCATTAACTAGATCCAGAGCATCTTGAGATGAGATCAATTGAACTTTATTCATAAATTGATGTCAAATGCACTTCTTTTATCCATAAAGGTGTAGTACTTTACACAAAATTAAATATTACCTCCGTCCCTGAGTATTTGTCCACTTTCATTTTTATATACCATCCAATACACTTCTTCAATCCATTTTATCTTGTAATTTGTATATTAAAAAATTATAGAAATTATATATTAATAATCTATATGTTAAGACAAATCAAATAAGATCACACATTACTATATTTAGGCTTACACATTGAGAGAATTTGATGAGTCAAAGTGCTTAGATGAACAGTTCCAAAAGTCAAAACTGGACGAATACTCCGGGACGGAGGGAGTAAAACTTTAAGTTTTTAAATTCATTTTATTTTAAGATTGATATATACATAAAAGAATAAATTTGCATATTTAAAAATTCTATCAAAAGTTTTATAAAATAAAAGATAACAACAACATTTTATTACGAAAAAGACAAATAAAAGTAAAAGATTAAAAATATATCAAAAAAGAAATTTCATAGTTTGACTCTTGAAATAGGAGTTAAAATGCATAGTGTCATTTATAATTATATACATTATCAAAAAGTATTTTAAAATGTCCATATACAATGCTAGATTATCATAATACAAACTCTTTTTTAGGATTTTCTCTTATTTATAGTGATTTCTTTATTTAGTCTCATTAATATTGTCAAGTGAAATTTGCACTAAATAGGACTAAAACATAATGACTTTCCTAATCTAGGACTTAAACTTTTTTATTCTCTAAATAGGACTTAATAATGTCTTCGTGGAAGGAATAATGCCCCGCAATGATAGACATTACTTGAATAATGACTAAAGAATAATGACCAAATGTCCTACATTCGGAAATAAAAACATATGGTCCTATTTTGAGAAAGTCATTATGTTTTAGTCCTATTTAGATAAATTACTCTATTGTCAATAGGTGAAATGATGGAAGTTTGGGCTAGTGATGGATCCAAGATTGAAAATCACGGGGCACGTCTAATGAAGACAATTGAAGAGTAACTAATTTCTAGACAAAGAGTGGAATGCCGAACTTGGGAGTTTATTACGGAGTACAATATAATCTTGGGTGGTTTGGTAAATGTGCATCATTATCTTTATGCTTTCAAAATCTACGCCGTTGCCTTTCAAGGCTCTGATATTGTTACGGCAATGTTGCTCTAGACTAAAATCTCCTTTAAATATTGGCACTAGCATTCCTTCTTTTCTTTATTCTTTTTCTTTTTTCTACTATTTTTTTATAAATGTTTTTCAATTTATTTTTTAAAATAAGTTTTTTTATAATTTAATAATCAATATCTTTGTGTTTGCAACAAAAATTAATTAAATAACAAGAATTAACATACACTTTATTTGTCTCAAATTAAATATTTTCATTTTTTGTCTAAAAGAGGTCTTTTTTAGATCATTTTCATGATACACAAATCAATGAAATATTTTTTTCACTAAAGCTCATTTCTCATTTTTTGTTCACTAATTATATGCCGTTTCTTTTATTTTAATTAAAATTAAAATAAAATAAAAAAGAATAGAAAAGAAAATAAAGAAAAAGAAAAGTATATGAAAAGAATACTTTTATGGAATAGGAAAATGACACTCAGTATTCTTTTGGTCCCGACATATTCAAAAATATAAAAACTTTTTTAGATAAAAAAATGAAAATAATTAAATTAACAAATTAAATGAAGTAAAATATTTTCCAATTTTGGATTTTTTCAGTCAAACATTTTTAATTTTTGATCTTTAATTATTTGTCCAGTTTTGGCTTTTTTCAGTCAATCATTTTTAATCTTTGATCTTTAATTAAGTAAAATATATATTTCATATTAATGAGATAAAATAATATTTTGAAAATATTTCATATAATAAATCTAATAGAATTATTTTTGTATCAATATCGAATATCATTTTTATTTAACTTGAAGTCAAATATTACGAATTTTGACAGAAAAAAGTTAAAAGTGGACAAATACTTGGATACGGAGGAAAGGTATATTTAATTTATTATTTTATTTTTTATTTCTAACACAAGAATTTTTTTTAGTTTTTAAAACTTTTTTTAAAATGTAGATTTGAAAAAACAATATTTTCATTATTTTCCACAAAAACATGTGTCTTCTCTCTATGAAAAAAAGAAAAGAAAAAAAATAATAAAGAAAAAGGAGAGGAGACATTGGTGTCAATTTTCAAAACCATAAGGGGCAGAAGAGTTATTCACATGATATTTTAAGAATATTTTTGTCCAGATGTGTATTGGCGTAATAATATCAAAACCAAAATAAACTCGCCAAACTTGAAATTTAGGTTTTTCAACAAATCGAAAATATGTGTTCCTTTGATGCGGAAAAATCTCCCCTCCCATTATTTTTGAAAACTAAAAGAATATCGGTGATATTAATGTTAAAAAAGTAGTAAGATATATAATCATGTTGTTTGTAAAGAAATATTCCAAAATTTTTAGTTTTATATTTTTTATATATGGGATTGACTCGAGTGAGATGACATGTTTCGGTGAGATGACGCAAAGCTCACCACACTATACTACAAAACTCACTCGAGTCAATCCCATCTCACTTCGAACACCAAAAATCACCTTTTTTTAAATTAAGAAAATTAAAAATTAATAAAAAATAAAATAGGAACACCGGTCAACCATTGGTCAACGGCGACGGCAGGCGGCATATTCTTGCGACCGGTGGTGGCGGCAGATTCTGGCGACCGGTGGTGGCCGGCGGCGGCAGGTGGAAGTCAAAGGTATCGGTCAACGGTCAAAGTCTAGTCAGCACCCCTTTCTTTGATTTTATTTTTTCCAAAAAAATTCAAAGTGTTGAAAAAATATGGTGAGCTTTGCCATACACTTTGCTTAGCTTTGTAGTTGTCCTTGGTGAGCTTTCAGTTGGAAGTAGTGAGCTTTGCGTCATGTGACCGTAGCATGTCATCTCACTGTAATTTGTCATCTGACTGAAGTCAATCCACACACACACACACACACACACACATATATATATATATGTGTGTGTGTGTGTGTGTGTGTGTTTGTGTGTGTGTGTGTGTGTATGTATGTATATGTATATGTATATGTATATATATGTATATATATATACATATATATACACTTCGTTAATAACGAAGTGTACGTTGTAAATGAAGCATGCATGCACACTTGAGGCCGAAGGGACACTCGTCCCCTCGTAATCTCCGATGGTCCAGCGAAGAGCCAAGAATTCCCTCCTATAAAAGGAGGGCTTGGCTGCAGGAGAAGAACTCACTTCCGAAAGCACTTCTCTCTCTGTACTTCCGATATTTCCCCTATTTCCGATTGTCTTCTCCGGCAGTGACTTCCGTTATTCTCGTTCGTCGGTGCACGGTGCTACCGCTCTAGGCCTTGCACGTAGCGGTTTTATCCTGGGAGGAGATTGCCCACGTTTGCAGTGCGGGAGGCGGGCAATACTACCTTAAGGAAAGCTCCAGTGACTCCGCTTTCCATATCCTTCTTTCATAAACTACTCTGGCGTTCTTCCTCTCTTCATCCGATGTCTCGTTCAAGCGCCCGTCCGTTCGAGTTCCGGCTTCTGTTCGAGTATCCGAACACTTCAAGTTCATTTTTTTTTGTTGTAAAATCCGAACGATTTATAAGTTCGGATTAATTTTATTTTTATTTTTCCCGCTGTAATATTCAACAATCTTAAGGTAGTAATATGGAGTTCGGATTCGGCATCGTGGGTTCCTCCGGTAACGGAATGAGTTCCGAAATTCCGGTGGAAACCTCTTCGGTTGCCATGGTTGTGCCGTCCTCACCACTACCCTTTGGGGCAAGTGTGGGGGCCGCGACCATGACGTCGTTTGCAATGCCAAGCTCGATCTTCGGGTCGGCCCCTCGACCCATTCCCGGGCTCGAAACCACGGGGGATCACCCCGTCGGTAATTCGAATCCGTTTCTCGGACCGACTATGGCTTCGGCCTCGACGGTCAACCTTGGACCGAACACGGGTTTTCCCACACCGGTCAATCCATTCGTTGGACCCCATTGGGCGACTAACGGGCCTTTCCTCCACACGCCCAATGCGGTTGGGCCGATTACGGTACCCGCTAGTTCGGTCCAAAGGCCACCGAAGTTCAATGGCACGAACTTCAAAATGTGGCAACAAAAGATGATGTTTTTTATGACCGTCTTGGGATTTGCTGAGTACCTGCAGCAAGATCCCCCCCCCCCCAGCCCAATGAAGCCAACGACCCCCTCGTGGCGATGGTGAACCAAGCATGGTACCACAACAACTATCTCGCCATCAACATTATCCTGGAGGGGTTGGGAGATTCGCTATACCCCGTCTACGCCGGTGCAACGCTCGCCAAGGAGCTTTGGAATAGCTTGAACAAAAAGTATCAAACTGAAGATGCCGGCACGAAGAAGTTCATCGTCGGGAAGATGCTGGACTACAAGATGGTCGACAGCAAATCTGTTGTCGCCCAGGCTGAGGAGCTTACGGTTATCTTCAACAAATGCAATGAAGAGAAAGTAGGCGTCAGCGAGGCCTTCCAAGTGGCGGCCATCATCCACAAACTTCCCCGGTCGTGGGAAGATTTCCAAGCCGACCTCAAGCTCAAAAGAACGGAGCTGAATCTGGAGCAACTGCTCACGCGGTTGAGGATCCGAGAGGAAGGGCTTGCTAGAAGAAATGGAGGGGCTAAGGCGAATGTTGTAGAACATCCGTCGGGCTCTTCACATGGTGGGAAGGACAAGAAGAAAATGGGTCCTAAGGGTGGTGTTTCTAAATTTGCAGGAAAGTGCTACAATTGTGGCATTACTGGGCATCGTTCCTCCGATTGTAGGAAAAAGAAGCCACAAAAGGGTAAGAAGAAAACCACTAAAGCCATGTGTGCGGAGCTTGACAACTTGGACCTCTGCGCGGTTGTCACCGAGGTACATCTCGTCGGGTCAAACCCGAAGGAATGGTTTGTGGACACAGGAGCCACACGCCATATTTGTTCAAATCGGAGCATGTTTCACGACTTTCAAGAGAGCTCACACTCAACGACGTGCTCTATGTCCCAGATATTCGCAAGAATTTAGTGTCGGGGTCATTGCTGATCAAACACGGCTTTCGGATGGTGTTTGAATCAAACAAGCTAATCTTGTCCAAGAAAGGGATTTTTATTGGGAAGGGTTACATTTATGATGGGCTAGTAAAGCTCAATGTAATGACTGTTCATGAAAAGATCAATAAAAATCCTGTTGCTTATGTGTGTGAGTCTTCTAGTTTATGGCACGGTAGACTAGGACATGTTAATTATGCATCTCTCCGGAAATTAATTAACATGGAATACATACCTAAGTTTAGTATTGACCTAACCCACAAGTGCGAAACTTGTGTTGAGGCTAAGTCAACTCGAAGTTCGTTTCAAACAATCGAACGGAACACTCAACCTCTAGAGTTGGTTCACACCGACTTGTGTGATTTTCGAACAACGCCTTCAAGAGGGGGTAATAAGTACTTTATTACCTTCGTCGATGATAGCACGAAATATTGCTATATCTATTTACTAAAAAGTAAAGATGAAGCGTTAGACACTTTCGTTCGATATAAGAATGAAGTGGAAAATCAACTCAATCGCAAAATAAAAGCATTGAGAAGCGATAGAGGTGGTGAGTATGATGCTCCACTTAATGAGTTTTGTGCACAACATGGAATTTTGCATCAAGTAACCCCACCGTATACACCACAGTCTAACGGAGTAGCGGAGCGCAAGAATCGCACTCTAAAAGACATGATGAATGCGATGCTGCTAAGTTCTGGATTACCTCAGAACATGTGGGGGGAGGCTGTTTTATCAAGTAATTATTTACTAAATAAAATACCTCGTAAGAAACTTGACAAAACTCCGTATGAACTTTGGCATAATAGGAAACCTTCCTATAAGTATCTTAAAGTGTGGGGGTGTCTCGCGAAAGTACTTGCACCACCACCGAAGAAGATGAAGATCGGTCCAAAAACAGTTGATGGAATCTTCATCGGGTACAATAGTACGTCATACCGGTTCTTGGTGTATAAATCAAATAATCCTGAAATTCACAAGAACACAATCATCGAGTCACGGAATGCAACATTTTTCGAGCAAATTTTTCCGTGCAAGTCAAGTGACGAAGCCAATTCGTCCAAACGTTCTCATACTGAGATGATGGATAATGATGATCCAAATCAGTCGAATTCCGGTGACGATGATGAAGTCGAACATGAGACTGAATTGAGACGAAGTAAAAGAATACGAACTGAAAAGACGTTCGATTCTGACTTCATAACATATCTGATAGAATTTGACAAAGGAACTTTGTCATTTCTAATGGAAAATGAACCCGATATTCTAACCTGTTTGGTAGAAAAAGAACCACGAACCTATCACGAGGCCGTAACCTCAACTGAGGGACCTCAGTGGCAAGAGGCCATAAAGAGTGAAGTTGATTCTATCCTTCAGAATCACACGTGGGAACTGGTTGATCTCCCTCCAGGGTGTAAGCCATTAGGTTACAAATGGGTCTTTCGGAGAAAAATGAAGCCTGACGGCTCCATTGACAAGTACAAAGTTAGACTTGTGATCAAGGGGTATAGCCAACGCGAGGGCTATGACTACTTTGATACTTACGCGCCTGTGACTAGGATAGATTCTATCAGAATGATCATCGCATTTGCATCCTTACGAAACTTGGATGTTTACCAAATGGATGTGAAGACAGCTTTTCTAAATGGCGAACTAGATGAAGAAATCTATATGGAACAACCCGAAGGGTTTAAGGTTCCGGGCCAAGAAAAGAAGGTCTGCAAACTTGT